GCAGGATTGGGAAGGGCTTAGGCGCAGGCGGGGGGGGGGGACATCTATGAAAAGGCAGATGTGTTGGCATTTTGTGGGTAGGAGTGCATTAGCGTTTGAATCAGTGCACCTCTTGGTCCCCTGCCCAGCTGGTGCTTCTGGCTGGGAAGCTGAACACACTGGCTGCTGTGGTCACAGTCTTCTACTTGGTGGCCTATGCTGCAGTGGACCTGTCCTGCTTGAGCCTGGAGTGGGCTTCGGCTCCCAACTTCCGGTGAGCGACTAAGATGTCTGGGTCTACAGAGAAAGGGAGGAAGGATGGGAAGGACACGGTTTGGGGAGAGGGAAGTGGCTGGCTGTGTGTTCAGGGCAGCTCTGAGTTCCCTTCCTCTTCTCTTCATCTACCTTAGCCCCACCTTCAGCCTGTTCTCCTGGCACACCTGCTTGCTGGGGGTGGCCTCCTGCCTGCTCATGATGTTTCTTATCAGCCCTGGGGCCGCAGGAGGCTCCCTCCTGCTCATGGGCCTGCTTTCTGCCCTGCTCACCGCACGAGGAGGCCCCAGCAGCTGGGGCTACGTCAGCCAGGCCTTGCTTTTCCATCAGGTTGGGAGCTTGGTGCGGGTGGGGAGGCAGTCTAAGAAAGCGGGAGTGGGGTGCTTTGTCTCCCTCAGCTGGAGTTGGTGTCCTTGTACAGGAGGCTTGAATTGAGGCTGCCCATCCCAGCCCTTCCTCCCCTTACCTGGTCCCTGTCCCCAGGTGCGCAAATACCTGCTACGGTTGGATGTCCGGAAGGAGCACGTGAAGTTCTGGCGGCCCCAGCTGCTGCTCCTGGTAGGGAACCCCCGGGGTGCCTTGCCTCTGTTGCGATTGGCCAACCAGCTCAAGAAGGGGGGACTCTACGTCCTGGGCCATGTCACCCTGGGAGACCTTGGTGAGTCACTTTCCCACTCACTCTTGCCTTTCTGCTCCCCTCAGATGTCTCAGGCTTCTTCCCACATGACCCCTCCACAGCCCAGCTCTAGCCCTGCCCAGACCCAGTGGGGACCTGGACTCTGTGAGGAGAGAGTAAACGAGTTTGGCCAACATTTGCTGCCTTCCTTTCCTTACCTTCTCTGCAGATTCCCTGCCCTCGGACCCCGTGCAGCAGCAGTACGGGGCATGGCTGAGCCTGGTGGACCGGGCCCAAGTGAAGGCCTTTGTGGACCTCACCCTCTCACCCTCGGTGCGTCAGGGGGCACAGCATCTGCTGCGAATCTCAGGCCTTGGTGAGCTGCTCCTCCCTGGGTTTTCCCTGTCCCCCTGCAGTGTAGACCACAGATTGTAAACTGCCAGAGGACCTCACAATTTAGTGCAGATAAGACAGTGTGTAAAGATAACAGCCATAGGTAGTGTGTGATCAGGTCTAACAGGAGATGCTAAAGACTAGAGATGCAGTGACACTGTCCTGGGTTTCTGCTTTTATTTATTTATTTTGAACCAAAATTGGGGCTTAGGCTCTAAAGAGCATATTTTCTGGAGACAATGGCAGAATTATTTGAGTCTCTGGCTACCCCGTGAAATCTAGGGCAGATAGTACCTAACCACCAGGGTAGAGAGAAAGGAAGACCACAGTGCACTGATGTGGGCAGCAGAGGTTTTATAGAGAGATGGTGACTTAGCCAGGCATCGAAAGGGGCCGAGAAGTAGGGAATGGTGTAACATGGTCCCAGTCACCATGAAGGAGGCAGGAGGGTATGTTGGCTGATGCTTTTGGATGGAGTGAAAGAATCCTAGCCTCGTGATTTTCTTTTTAATTGATGGAGGGTGCATGCACTTGGCAGAGAAAGAGAAAGCAGGAAGAGAGGGAGGGGAATAGAGGGGGAAAGAGAACATGAGTGAGTACTCCCCCATGGGGTGTGGCCAGACTTCAGTCCCTTCGGCATTTCTCCATCCTGTCTGGATTTTACGCACACATGGACACACTGCCATGGTTTTCTGTTTTGTTTTGTTTGTTTGTCTTGGTTATTTTACTATAGGGTGTATGCATTTCATGGAGAAACAGAGAGAAAGGAGCAAAGTGAGAAAGCACCCCGCATGAGGGATGGCCATGCTGCAACCCCTTTTCCTTCATTCTTCTCTTGGGATTTTGGGCACACACTCAGCATGTTTTTCAAGCTGCTGGGTCCAAGACGTGAACTGCACAGTTGGCCATATGGAATCCAGCCATCTTAACCACCATACCACTGGCTGGCCCAACACCTGGCATGTGTTTCAAGCTGCCAGGGTTGGAGTTCCAACTGTGGTCAGCCATGTGGGATCTGGCTCTCTACCCACTAGGCTATGAAGTCAGCTCCCCAGCTTTGTGACTGAGCACCTCAGATCCATACCCCCGCCTTCTCTTCCCTGAATACCAGGGTCTGGTACCTGGGTGCATGCCTTCTGCATTTAGTGTCTGACTGAAGTTCAGCAGTGTTGGACATTGCCCTGTGCAGTAAATCAGAACTCTGGGGGAGAAAAAAAAGAGAAGAAAGAAAAGAACGGGACCCTGGAACATGCTCAGGAGGGGCTGTGGCTGGTTCACTTAGCAAGATCAGCTGCAGTTCGCAGCTGCTGAGATGTTCGGTGGTGTCATTGCACAGTAGCTCCTGGAGCATCGGGGCACTTGGACTTTCTTCAGTTCTACCTTTTGTTTAAGGCAATCACTATGTTCATGAAATTTTTAAAAAAAATTGCCAGAGCACGCATTCGCCAGAGAAAAACAGAGATAGAGAGATGGGGAGATGGAGAAAGTGCCCCTCAGTGGGGCATAATCATGCTGCAATCCCATCTCCTTCACTTTTTCTATCCCGTCAGGATTTTGGGCATACCTATACATGCCTGGCAAGTTTTTCAAGCCAGTGGAGCTGATATTCTAACCATGTGGTTGGCCATGTGGCACCTGGCGCCCTTAATCACTAAGCCATTGGACTGGCCCTGTCCATAAAATTTATCCAATGGGTGATAATTCTAAAAAAAAAAAAAGAGAAAGCATTGGGGCCTGCAAGTGGCATGGTGGTTAAAGGCTCTGGACTCCCACATGGCCAATCACGGTTCAAGTCTCGGATCTGGTGGCTTGCTTTCTCACTTCCTCTGTCTCTCTCTCTGATCAAATTGAAAAATAATAATGATAATAATAATAAATAAGGTTAAATAAAATAATTCTAAAAAATATTAAAAAACACAGACTCTTAGGTCCCTTTAAAAAAAAAAAAAGAGAAAGCATTTCCAGGCCAGCAGGTGGTATGGAGATTAATACACTGGATCCTAGGGCCAGCTACATGGTTCAAGTCCTGGATCTGGTGGTTTGAAAATCACATCTAGTGCATGTGCGTGCATGCCCAAAATCCTGAGAGAAGAATGGAAGAGAAGGGATTAAGGCATGGCTGTACTCCCTGGGGGGTGATTTCTCATTTTTCCTCTCTCTCTGCAAGTTCATGCACCCTACAGCAAAAATTAAAAAAAAAAAAAAAAAAAAAGGGGAGAGACAGAAAGAAAGCATTTTATTTAAATAGTAAATTTTCCTGACAGAATTTGACCTACTGGTAAATTTTGAGCAGCCTGCTTCATGAGAAGGGGGTCTTAGAAGAGGTCTCTAATCTCCCTGTAAGCTCAGTCTCCCTTTTAACAAAAAGGAGTAATCACCCATTTCCACACTGGTTATTTGAAACTGAAAAGCAGGAGCTGCCAGA